TCAACAGCCCTTCCTACCCACCCACTTCCCTGCTGTGCAGCATTTCGCCTCCGTCTTGGGTTGGTTGACCAGGTTTAGTACACTTTTCACATCCTACGGCAGGACTACAACCCCCATCATCCCCAGACACCAACATTAGGATGATTGGATTTGTAGTCCAACACAACTGGGAGGGCCTTCCTTGCTTTCTTGTCCTAATGGGCTTAAAGCCACACCTAGGGTTTCGTCACTGGGTTGCTGTGAGTTTTCTGGGCTGTCTGGCCACATTCCAGCAGCATTCTCTCCTGACATTTCTCCTGCATCTGTGGCTAATGGCATTTTCAGAGGTTCTGTTGGCGGCGGAGCTGGTGTGTGTGTGTGTGTGTATGTATAAAGCAAGTGTGAATATTGCAATTAGCAAACTTAAATACCTTTGGGTAGCCTTGCAGCTGCAAAGTCAATCAGTGAAGGTATCTGCATAGAGGTAGTGAAACAAGTGGAGTGTGCATATATCTGTGCAATAATGTCCAGTGTGGGAGAAAGGACTCTTCTCTGTTTGAAGCAAGTGGGAATGTTGCAATGAACAAGCTTGAATAGCCTTGAGTAGCCTTGAAGCTGAAAAGTCAATCAGTGAGGGCATCTGCATAGAGTTAGTGAAGCAAGTGCAGATATCCCTGTAGAATAATGCCCAGGGTGGGAAAAATAACCCTTTTTTGTTTAAAGCAAGTGTGGATGTTGCAATGAGCAAGTTTTAATAGCATTGAGTAACCACGAAGCTGCAAAGTCAATCAGTGAGGGCATCTGCATAGAGGTAGCAAGTGGAGTGTATATGTGTAATAATGCCCAGGGTGGGAGAAAGAACTGTTGTCTGTTTAAAGCAAGTATGGATGTTGCAATGAACAAGCTTGAATAGCATTGAGTAGCCTTGCAGCTGCAAAGTCAATCAGTGAGGTTATTGGAATAGTGGTAGCAAGTGGAATGTATATAGACCTATAGAATAACGTCCAGGGTGGGAGAAAGAATCTTTGTCTGTTTGAAGAAGCATGAACATTGCAAGGAGCAAGCTGGAATAGCATTGACTAGCCATGCAGCTGCAAAGTCAATCAGTGAGGGCAGTGAAGCAAATGGGGTGTATATATATATATGTGTGTGAAATAATGCCCAGGGTGGGAAAAACAACCACTGCCTGTTTAAAGCAAGTGTGAATGTTACAATGAGGAAGCGGGAGTAGCATTGAGTAGCCTTGCTGCTGCAAAGTCCATCAGTGAGGGCATCTGCATAGAGGTAGCAAGTGGAGTGTATATGTGTGTGTGTGGAATAATGTCTAAGGTGGGAGAAAAAAACTCTTCTCTGTTTGAAGCAAGTGTGAATGTTGCAATGAGCAAGCTTGAATAGCACAGAGTAGTCATGCAGCTCCAAAGTCAATCAGTGAGGGCATCTGGATAGAGGTAGTGAAGCAAGTGGAATATATATGTGTGTGTGTGTATGTGTGGAATAATATCCAGGGTGGGAGAAAGCATCTTTGTCTGTTTGAAGCAAGTGTGACTGTTGCAAGGAGCAAGCTTGAATCACATTGAGTAGCCTTGCAGCTGCAAAGTCAATCAGTGAGAGCATCTGGATAGAGGTAGTGAAACAAGTGGGGTGTATTTAGGCATTTGTGTAACAATGTCCAGGGTTGGAGAAAGAACTCTTCTCTATTTGAAGCAAGTTGGAATTTTGCAATAAGCAAGCTTAAAAGGCATTGAGTAGCCTTGCAGCTGCAAAGTCAATCAGTGAGGGCATCTGCATAGAGGTAGTGAAACAAGTGGAGTGTATATAGTCCAGGGTGGGAGAATAATAATGTCCAGGGTGGGAGAAAGGACGCTTCTCTGTTTGAAGCAAGTGTGAAGCCTGAATAACATTGAGTAGCCTTGCAAATGCAAAGACAATCTGCGAGGACATCTGAATAGAGGTAGTGAAGCAAGTGGAGTGTATATGTAGGTATGTGTGTGGAATAATATCCAGGGTGGGAGAAATAATCTTTGTCTGTTTAAAGCACGTGTGAATATTGCAATTAGCAAACTTGAATACCTTTGAGTAGCCACGAAGCTGCAAAGTCAATCAGTGAGGTCATCTGCATAGAGGTAGCAAGTGGCGTGTATATATACCTGTAGGATAACGTCCAGGGTGGGAGAAAGAATCTTTGACTGTTTAAAGAAGTGTGAGTGTTGCACTGAGGAAGCTGGAATAGCATTGACTAGCCATGCAGCACCAAAGTCAATCAGTGAGGGCAGTGGAGCAAGTAGGGTATATATATATATGTGTGTGTGTGTGTGTGTGTGTGAAATAATGCCTAGGGTGGGAAAAACAACCCTTGTCTGTTCAAAGCAAGTGTGAATGTTGCAATGAGCAAGCTTGAATAGCATTGAGTAGCCTTGCAGCTGCAAAGTCAATCAGCGAGGGCATCTGGATAGAGGTAGTGAAACAAGTGGTGTTTGTGTAATAATGTCCAAGGTGGGAGAAAGGACTCTTCTCCGTTTGAAGCAAGCGTGTTGCAATGAGTAAGCTTGAATAGCATTGAGTATCCTTGCAGCTGCAAAGTCAATCAGCGAGGGCATTTGGATAGAGGTAGTGAAAACTCTTTTTCTAGCAGTCTGAAAGGTCCTGCCGCCTCTTTCTTTTGTCCTTCCTTTCCTTTTCCTTAGTTTAAGAGGTCTATCAATCTCTCGCAACGAAGCAACGCACAAACGCACTTGTCGTGTTGTTGTTGTTGCACAAGCCCGGCCTGGTTGGAGAGGCCTAAATTTAGCCGGGAATGTCCCTGGGCAAGCTTCCCAGTTGGTGGCAGGGCTGGAAGGCTGATATCGGGGGCAACATGAGTGGCACCTGCCTATCATCAGTCAAGCTGTCAAAAAGGGGAGGAGATTGAGCATTGCTAGACAGGGATGTGCACAAATCACCCTAGAGCACAAGCGAAGCACCCCTGACAGATGGCCAGCCAGCCTCTGTTTAAAAGCCTCCAAGGAAGGAGCTTCCACCGCACTCCGAGGCAGAGAGTTCCACTGTTGAACAGCTCTCACAGTGAGGAAGTGGCTCATCTATTCCAACCCTGACCGGGACCGCCTTCCACCTGGAATTAGCTTCCGAAGGAGGACCGACGATGGATGATGGGACTTGTAGTACCCTCACTCACTTCCGGATAGCACTGTGACCCACAGCAATGATGGATCAAAAACAAACTTGGCACACATAACCCACATGACTCACTTTACATCCCGGTGCAGTTTGGGGGAGGATGGACCATGGATGATGGGATTTGTAGTACCTTTACCTGATTCACATTCCACAGAACACAGTGGCCCCTCAAGAATTACGAGCCTGGACCAAACTTGGCACACAGACCCCTAGTGGGCCAGTTTACATCCTGGTGTGGTTTGGGTGAGGACTCACCATGGATTATGGGACTTGCAGTACCTTTACTCACTTCCTGAGACCACTGCGACCCTCAACCAATGACTGATCAAGACCAAACTTGGCACACAGAGCCTCCATAATCCATGTTGTATCCTGGTACTGTTTGGAGGAGGATTGACCATCAATGATGGGACTTGTAGTACCTCCACTAACTTCGTGAGACCACTGTGACCCTCACCCAATGACTGATCAAGACCAAACTTGGCACACAGAGCCTCCATAACCCATGTTGTATCCTGGTATGTGTTTGGAGTAGGATTGACCATCAATGATGGGACTTGTAGTACCTTTACTCACTTCCTGAGACCACTGCAACCCTCATCCAATGATGGACCGAGACCAAACCTGGCACACAAAGCCACAATGCCCCACTCTACATCCTGCTGTGGTTTGTGAACAACGGACCATGGATGATGGGACTTATATTATCTTCACACACTTCTTGAGACCACTGCGATCCTCACCAATGACGGATGAAGACAGAACTTGACACACAAAGCCACAATGACCCACTCTACATCCTGCTGTGGTTTGAAGGAGGGTGGACCATGGATGATGGGACTTGCAGTACCTTCACTCACTTACTGACACCACTTCGACCCTCACTTAATGACGGACCAAGACCAAACCTGGCACACAAAGCCACAATGACTCACACTACATTCTACTGTGGTTTGAAGGAGGGTGGACCATGGATGATGGGACTTGCAGTACCTTCACACACTTCCTGAGATCACTTCGACCCTCACTTAATGACGGACCAAGACCAAACCTGGCACACAAAGCCTCAATGACCCACTCTACATCCATCTGTGGTTTGAAAGAGGGTGGACCATGGATGATGGGACTTCCAGTACCTTCACTCACTGGCTGAGACCACTTCAACCCTCATTCAATGACGGACCAAGACCAAACCTGGCACACAAAGCCACAATGACCCACACTACATCCCGGTGCAGTTTGTGGGACAATGTGCCATGGATGATGGGACTTCCAGTACCTTCACACACTTCCTGAGACCACTGCGATCCTCACCAATGACGGATGAAGGTAGAACTTGGCACACACAGCTCTCATGACCCACTCTACATCCTGGTCCTACATCCTGTGGGACCATGGACCATGGATGATGGGATTTACAGTATCTTCACAGAGTTCCTGAGACCACTGCGACCCTCATCCAATGACTGACCCACACCAATCACCGGCCAAGAACAAACTTGGCACATAGAGCTCCCTTGATCCACTCTACATCCTGGTGCAGATTGGAGGAGGAGGAGGGGCCATGGATGATGGGAGTTGTAGTTCACCCACACCCACCGAACACAGCTGACGTTGAATCTAAATGCAAGAGATGTGTTCAAAGGAAAGCTTGCCAAGCCGATGTAGCTGAGTGTCAAACGGCATTTGAGTGTCAAACGTAGAGTATGCAAGTGGTCAAGGGGAGTGTCCCGAGGAGCAGAGGGTGGCCCGAGTGTCCCGGCTGGCCCGTCCCTTCATGAATAATGCACACCCTCCCCGTGGGGGGGTTTAATAATGCTCAAGGGGAGGAGTTTTGGGCGCATTTGCCCGGGCCAGAGGACGCAGCTGACCGACCGACTGACCACAGGGTCCCCTCTCCATCTGTCCAGATTGATTTGATTCTCTTCTCTGTGGGGAAAGATCCTTGGGTGGCCTTGCCGGGATGTCTCGTCCGCTCTCAGACCAGGAGAAGAGGAAGCAGATCAGCGTGCGGGGACTGGCCGGCGTGGAGAACGTCACCGACCTCAAGAAGAACTTCAACCGGCACTTGCACTTCACCCTGGTCAAGGACCGCAATGTGGCCACCACCCGGGACTACTACTTCGCCCTGGCCCACACCGTCCGGGACCACTTGGTGGGACGCTGGATCCGCACCCAGCAGTACTACTACGAGAAGGACCCCAAGGTGAGCATCCTGACACCCCTTCGATATAAACAAAAAAGTCATGTTCTCGTAGTAGTGATACCCCTTCGATATAAACAAAAATGTCATGTTCTTGTAGTAGTGACACCCCTTCGATATAAACAAAAATGTCATGTTCTCGTAGTAGTGACACCCCTTCGATATAAACAATAATGTCATGTTCTCGTAGTAGTGACACCCCTTCGATATAAACAAAAATGTCATGTTCTCGTAGTAGTACCCAGCAGTACTACTACGAGAAGGACCCCAAGGTGAGCATCCTGACACCCCTTCGATATAAACAAAAATGTCATGTTCTCGTAGTAGTGACACCCCTTCGATATAAACAAAAATGTCATCTTCTCATAGTAGTGACACCCCTTCGATATAAACAAAAATGTCATGTTCTCGTAGTAGTGACACCCCTTCAATATAAACAAAAATGTCATGTTCTCGCAGTAGTACCCAGCAGTACTACTACTACAAGAAGGACCCCAAGGTGAGCATCCTGACACCCCTTCGATATAAACAAAAATGTCATGTTCTCGTAGCAGTACCCAGCAGTACTACTACGAGAAGGACCCCAAGGTGAGCACCTTGACACCCCTTCGATATAAACAAAAATGTCATGTTCTCGCAGTAGTACCCAGCAGTACTACTACTACAAGAAGGGCCCCAAGGTGAGCATCCTGACACCCCTTCGATATAAACAAAAATGTCATGTTCGTTTTGGGATTCATGGAACTCAAAAACCACTGGGCGAATTGACACCAAATTTGGACACGACACCTAACAACACAATGTATGTCCTTCACTCAAAAAAATTGATTTTGTCATTTGGGAGTTGTAGTTGCTGGGATTTATAGTTCACCTACAATCACAGAACATTCTGAACCCCACCAACAATGGAATTGGGCTGAACTTCCCACACAGAACCCCCATGTAGGCCACAGCAACGCATGGAAGGGGACGGCTAGTCTATATAAATAAAAATGTCATGTTCGTTTGTGGGATTAACGGAACTCAAAAACCACTGGATGAATTGACACCAAATTTGGACACAAGACAACAGTCAGGCCAACAAGTGACCATCACTCCTAAAAATACTGAAAAACACAGTGGAAGGGACTTAAAAAGCCAAAAAAACACATATATACATATACATACATATATATCCCAGTGGAATAAAGTCCAGGGTGGGAGAGAGAACCCTTGCCTGTTTGAAGCAAGTGTGAATGTTGCAAGGAGCAACCTTGAATAACATTGAATAGCCTTGCAGCTGCAAAGTCAATAAGTGAGGGTATCTGCATGGAGGAAGCAAGTGGACTGTAGCTATCACTCTGGAATAATGGGAGAAAGAACCCTTGTCTGTTTGAAGCAAATGTGAATGTTGTCGTTAGCAAGGTTGAATAGAATTTCATAGCCATGAAGTTGCAAAGTCAATCAGTGAGGGTATCTGCATGGAGGTAGTGAAGCAAGTGGTGTGTGTGTGTGTGTGTGTGTGTGTGTGTGTGTGTGTGGAATACTGTCCAGGGTGGGAGAAAGAACCCTTGTCTGTTTGAAGCAAGTGTAAATGTTGCAATTGGCAAGCTTGAATAGCACTGAATACCCATGAAGCTGCAAAGTCAATCACTAAGGGCATCTGCATGGAGGTAGTAAAGCAAGTGGGGTATGTGTGTGTGGAATAATGTCCAAGGTGGGAGAAGGAACCCTTGTCTGTTTAAAGCAAGTGTGAATGTTGCAGTGGGCAAGTTTGAATAGCATTGAGTAGCCACAAAGCTGTAAAGCCAATCAGTAAAGGCATCTGCATAGAGGTAGTAAAGCAAGGTAGTAATGTTCAGGATGGGAAAAAGAACCCTTGTCTGTTTGAAGCAAGTGTGAATGTTGCAACTAGCAAGCTTGAATAATACTGAATAGCCATGAAGCTGCAAAGCCAATCAGTAAGGGCATCAGCATGGAGGTAGTAAAGCAAGTGGAGTATATATATGTGTGTGTGTGTGGAATAATGTTCAGGAAGGGAGAAAGAATCCTTGTCTGTTTGAAGCAAGTGTAAATATTGTAGTTAGCAAGCTTGAATAGCACTGAATAGCCATGAAGCTGCAAAGCCAATCAGTAAGGGCATCTGCATAGAGGTAGTAGAGCAAGTGGAGTATATGTGTGTGCGTGTGTGTGTGTGTAATAATGTCCAGGAAGGGAGAAAGAACCCTTGTCTGTTTGAAGCAAGTGTGAATGTTGCAGTGAGCAAGCTTGAATGGCACTGAATAGCCATGAAGCTGCAAAGCCAATAAGTAAGGGCACCTGCATAGAGATAGTAAAGCAAGTGAAGTGTGTGTGTGTGTGTAAAATAATGTCCAGTGTGGGAGAAAGAACCCTTGTCTGTTTGAAGCAAGTGAGAATGTTGCAGTGAGCAAGTTTGAATAGCATTGAGTAGCATGAAGCTGCAAAGTCAATAAGTGAGGGTATCTGCATAGAGGTAGCCTGTCCGTTGTTGCCTGGAGGCAGCTTCTTTTTGGAAAGTATTCCCAAACAGACAACAAAGGACAGGCTACCTCTATGCAGATACCCTCACTGATTGACTTTGCAGCTTTGTGGCTACTCAATGCTATTCAAACTTGCACACTGTAACATTCACACTTGCTTCAAACAGACAAGGGTTCGTCTTCCCACCCTGGACATTATTACACAAACACCTAAATATGCTCCACTTGTTTCACTACTTCTATCCAGGTGCCCTCACTGATTGACTTTACAGCTGCAAGGCTACTCAATGCTATTCCAGCTTGCACATTGCAACATTCACACTTGCTTTAAACAGACAAGGATTGCTTTTCCCACCCTGGGTATTATTTTACACACACATATATACACCCCATTTGCTTCACTACCCTCACTGATTGACTTTGCAGCCTCATGGCTAGTCAGTGCTATTCCAGCTTCCTCACTGCAACATTCACGCTTGCTTTAAACAGACAAGGATTCTCCACTTACTTTCCTACCTCTATGAAGATGCCCTTACTGATTGGCTTTGCAGCTTCCTGGCTATTCAGTGCTATTAGTTGCAATATTTACACTTGCTTTAAACAAACGGGTTCTTTCTCCCACCTGGTCAGTATTCCACACACATACACATATACTCCGCTTGCTTTACTATCAACAACAACAGCCAGTATAGAAAGAACACCATCTGAACATGAGGAAGAGCTTTCTGACTCTGAGAGCTGTTCAACAGTGGAACTCTCTGCTTCAGAGTATGGTGGGTGTTCCTTCTTTGGAGGCATTTCAACAGAGACTGAATGCCTTATTGCAAAAGACTTATTATTATCATTATCATTATTATTATTATTATTAAATTATTATTATTAAACATGATAATCATTATTTAATGATTATGATTAACAATAATAATAATTTAATAATATTTTTATTTATATAATTTATAATTATTATCGTCAATAATAATTAAATTATTATTATTAATCATGATAATCATTATATAATTATAATTAAATAGTGATATAATGACAATAATAATGTCATTATATAATGATTATGATTGATAATAATAATTTAATAATATTGTTATTTATAAAATTTATAATTATTATCGTCAATAATAATTAAATTATTATTATTAATCATGATTATTATATAATGATAATGACATAGTGATATAATGACAATAATAATGTCATTATATAATGATTATGATTAACAATAATAATAATTTAATAATATTTTTATTTGTAAAATTAATAATTATTATCATTTAATAATAATTAAATTATTATTATTAATCATGATAATCATTATATAATTATAATTAAATAGTGATATGATAATAATAATGTCATTATATAACGATTATCATGATTAATAATAATAATTTAATAACAATTTTATTTATAAAATTCATAATTATTATCATTAATAATAATTAAATTATTATTATTAATCATAATTATTATATAATGACAAGGATATATTGATATAATGACAATGATAATATCACTATATCATTATTATTATGTAATATCATGATTAATAATACTAATAATTTAATAATATTATTATTTATAAAATTTATAATTATTATCATCAATAATTAATACGAATAAATAATATTTATTAATATTTATTATTATTATTATTAATAATGATAATCATTATATAATGATAATGATATACAGCAATCCCTCGCTACTTTGTGGTTCGCTTTTCGCGGATTCACTGTTTCGCGGGTTTTTGCAGTACTCGACCATCGACATCGACTGGTTCTTCCACTAAATCGGGCAAATTCACTCATGATAATGATATAGTGATATAATAATAATAATAATAATAATAATAATAATAATAATACTTTATTTATATTCTGCCCTATATTCCTGCATAAGAGAATGGTAATAATAATAATAATTATATAATGATACAGTGATATAATAATAATAATAATAATAATAATAATAATAATAATAATAATAATTTACTTATATTCTGCCCTATATTCCTGCATAAGTGTGTGGGGAGGGTTTATAAAGACTTAAAATGGTGTATAACTACTAAAATAATGTATAGATATTAAAATAAATATAGTGTCCCTACTTCGCGGATTTTCATTTTTGCGGGTGATCCTGGAACGTAACACCCGCGAAAAGTGAGGGAATACTGTAGTGATATAATGACAATAATAATATTTATTAATATTTATTCTTATTATTATTAAGGATAATATTAATTATATCATGATAATGATACAGTGATGATGGTGGTAATAATAATAATAATAATAATAATAATAATAATAATAATAATAATATATTTATATTCCGCCCTGTCTACCAAAGGAACTACTAAAATAATGTAGTGATATAATGACAATAATATTTATTAATATTTATTCTTATTATTATTAATGATAATATTATTTATATCATGATAATGATACAGTGATGATGGTGGTAATAATAATAATAATAATAATAATAATAATAATAATAATAATA